TCAAGTGTTAGCTGGCTGCTTATGATTGGCTGGGCTTAAGTTCCACTTCTGCCTAACATAACCATTTATCAGAAACGACTCCAGTTAAGTTTCACTTGTTTTCCATTTAGGCAAGGTTGAGGTCACTTCCGATGCCTAACTGATTTTGTCTGTTCAGGGATTTTTCAGGCCTGGTATCATTTTAATATTTAACCCATGAAAGGTAATTATGCTGGGGTTTCACAGTAATCTTGTATAGTTGGGAAAATTAAGTCTTCCTGCAATCTGACAGGACCTCACTGCAGATGTCAAATATGAGTCCACCAACGTAAGGGTCATTGGTGAGGACGACAGAAACCTCAGAAGCTGTATTCATCAAACATCGCGCAACCTGCTAACTCATGAAAGTTAGCTGAGAGAAGCTAAGTGCTGAGCACAGGAGACCGTCGCTTGCCTATGATCAGCGTATCGGAGTGCTGGTTTCTGCCACGTCTCCAGCCCAGGAGCTGCAGTGCCCTGGAGCTCTTCACCCACATACACACTCTCAGTCAGGGGCAGCAAAGCTTTCGTGTGAAGAGCTGGATTCTAACTGTCTTTGCCCAAAGTCCTGGGATTACAGGCATGAGCCACTGCACCCAGGCTCATCTTCCCATCTTGTTCAGAGGACTACAAGTAGCGTAATGAAAATCTTAAAGTTTTAGCCATCTGAATCGGTAACCTTAACTTGTTCTATTTTATCAAAAACATAATTTAAATCCAACTGTCCTTTTATACACTGGTGAATTTAAGTGACTATGTTTTACTGTTTCATAACAAAAAATTTCAAGTGAAAAGCCAGAAAAGCTTTGTGTTGTCTATGTTGTTTGTTTTTATATGTTTTTATGTCTATGTTATTTTAACTTACAAAGAGCTCTGTTCAATTGGCATAAAGAAAAAAAGCAGTTAAATTAAGTAATTTAAGAGCATACAGTTTACACCATTTTTATACTATATGTAAGAAACATAGGAACAAGCGCAGTGGCTCACGCCTATAATCCCAGAACTTTGGGAGGCCAATGCAGGAGGACTGTTTGAAGCTCAGTTTGATACCAGCCTGGGCAGCAAAGCAAGACCCCATTTCTACAGCAACAGTAACTAAAATAGCTGAGGGTCTCTGTTAAGACAGACAGACGGACGGAATGAAATAAAATAGAAACCATTATGCAAACTGAGTTCATTTTACTTCACTCTGTATGATCCTTAAAACCCTACACCTGCCCGACCTCTGCAAAAGAACAACTCCTAACAAATAATGCTGGCCCAGCACTTTGACATGATAGCCAACACCTGTGAAACCGATAAAATGAACCTTAATAATTAACTCCAGGCTGACTTAACCTGACAGCACCTCCTTCCAAATCTCCTTCCAGCTGCTCAGATGTGGTTCAAGTGGTTTTCACACTGATTTGAAATTGCTGGCCAGTCTCCCAACATGGCACCAAATCAACCTGGACAGGGCCATCTTGGCACCAAGGGACAATCAAAACCTAACCAGGGGATAATTGATCAGTGATGTCTTCAGAAAAGGGTTTTTTTTGGTTTTTGTTTTTTCTTTAGATTGAGTATCACTCTGTCATCCAGGCTGGAATGCAATGGCACAGTCTTGGCTCACTGCAACCTCTGCCTCCTGGGTTCAAGCAATTCTCCTGCCTCAGCCTCCCGAGTAGCTGGGATAACAGGTGCACACCACCACACCCAGCTAATTTTTGTATTTTTAGTGGAGACAGGGTTTCAGCATGTTGGCCAGCTTAGTCTCGAACTCCTGACAGCAGGTGATCCGCCCGCCTCAGTCTCCCAAAGTGCTGGAATTACAGGTGTGAGCCACCACGCCCGGCTTCAGGAAAAGATCTTCATCAAAAGGAGGAAATGTAAAAATTGCCAATATCAAGATGGAGTCACTTGTGTCAAACAGAAACAAAATAAGAGGTTAAGAAGGGGCGGGGTCCTTCATGCACACATGCTATGAGAAGAACCGTTGCAAAAGTCTCTGAAGGCCTCAAGCACATATACCTGTAAAAATAACTTTTTTTAAAAAAAAGAGTCTTGCTCTGTTGCCCAGGCTAAAATGCAGTGGCATGATCTCAGCTCACTATAAGCTCCACCTGCTGGGTTCAAGGGATTCTTCTGCCTCAGCCTCCCGAGTAGCTGCGATTACAGGTACCTGCCACCACACCCAGGTAATTTTTGTATTTTTAGTAGAAATGGGGTTTCACCATGTTGGCCAGGCTGGTCTGAAACTCCTGACCTCAAGTGATCTGCCTGCCTCGGCCTCCCAAAGTGCTGGGCTTACAGGTAGGAGCCACCATGCCTGGCCTGTAAAGATAACATTTGACAAGGATTTTCCAACCTGCAGCTTGCTACATGAGTCACAAGGAAGGCTAGCCAGATGTACAAAGAACAGTTGTCTGACACACTGTCTCCACTAATAAACTGATGTCAACTCCTGCAATAAGCCCCTGTAACCAATGTTTTTGCTTCACAACACCTTCTGTGGGTTGGGCGTACTCATGCCTGTAACTCCAGCACTTTTGGAGTCCACGGTGGGAGGATCACTTCAACCCAGAATTAAAAACCAGCCTGGGCAACATGGTGAGACCCTATCTCTACAAAAAATTTTTAAATTAGCCAGGCATGGTGGTGAATGCCTGTAGTCCCTGCTACTCAGAAGGCTGAGGTGGAAGGATCACCCGAGCCCAGAAGGTTGAGGCTGCAGTGAGCCATGATCACACCACTACACTCCAGCCTGGGCGAAAGAGCAACACCTTGTTTCAAAACAAATAAATAATAATAAATTTTAAAATAAACAAAAATGTAGGCCAAGGCAGGCAGATCACCTGAAGTCAGGAGTTCAAGACCAGCCTGGCCAACACAGTGAAACTGTCTCTACTAAAAATACAAAAATTAGCTGGGCATAGTGGCGCACGCCTGTAGTCCCAGTTACTCGGGAGGCTGAGGCAGGATGATCACTTGAACTCAGGAGGCAGAGGTTGCAGTGAGCTGAGATAGCGCCACTGCACTCCAGCCTGAGTGACAGGACAAGACTCCACCTCAACAAACATAAAAATGTAAAAAATAAAAATAAACAGAAACATAACTTATGTATACTTCTGTTTGCCTTTACAAGCATCCCCTTACCTCAGCCCCCTTGAATGCGCCCATGTTTGCCATGGCACACATATTCTGTATTGCAGTGCTTCTGCACATTCCCAGATAAGCTCATTATCTTCGGAGAATCTCCTCTGTTTGTGGTTTAGGTTGGCACCCTTTACTACTACTCTCTCTCCTTTTCTGGAACACCCATCGTACAGCGGTAAGGACTAAGGATGGAAACAGGGCCTGGTGCCTAGAGGCTTCCTGGAGCTGGAGGCCAGCCTGGCTAATTCTGGACTTCATTGCCCGAGTCCCTGGAAATACTTCCAAGCATCTAATCAATTGGGGGAAGGTGTTTGTTTTGGGGGTGGGTTGTTACTTATTGCCAAATGTAATTTCTAGCTAATACATATAGAAAATTGTCTGTTAAATTGTTCTGCTTCTTAGGTTCATTATGTAACTTTTGCTAAAAAAATCACTCATTTTTCCAGGTTTTTACATTTGTCTCAGTCACACAATGAAATATGTTAAATTATCTTACCTTATTGCATATTGGTATCTCATTTTCTCATTCTTAATTTCGTATACTTTTACTTCTCCTCTTTGATCACTGGAACTCACTTACTTGTCTCATAGTTATTATATTTAATCTTTCCACTACTTTGTGTTAGTTCCTGTTTCATTCTTTTAGCTTAATTTTTTTTTCCCATTTGTAAGATAAATCCTAAGCTTCTTGAATCTTTTCTTCATTAATAATGTAGTCAGCCGGGCACGGTGGCTCACTTCTGTAATCCCAGCACTTTGGGAAGCCAAGGCAGGCAGTTCTATTGAGCCCAGATGTTCAAGGCTGGCCTGGGCAACATGGTGAAATCCTTCTCTACCAAAAATACAAAAAATTCGCCAAATGTGGTGGTGTGTGTCTGTGGTTCCAGCTACTTGGGAGGCTGAGAAGGGAAGATCATTTGGGCCTGGGAGGCAGAGATTGCAGTGAGCTGAGATGCGCCACTGCCTTCCAGTCTGGTGACAGTGAGACTCTATCTCAAATAATAATAATGAAGTCATTCTAAAATGACTATAAATTTTCCTCAGAACACAGCTTTAGCTGCCTCCTATAGGACTTCAGTGGGAAGGGATTCTACCTATGCAGTGTTTGATATACAGTTTGTAACTACAGATGAGTTTCTGACAAGTTTTGATCCAGGGTTTTTAAAAAGATTTGTCAATTTCAAAATATTTGTTTGCTGCTTTTTTTTTTTTTTGAGATAAGGTCTCTCCCTGTTACCCAGGCTGGAGTCCAGTGGTGGGATCACTGCTCACTGCACCATCCAACTCCCAGGCTCAAGAGATCCTCCCACCTCAGCCCCCAACCTCATAGCTGGGACTACAGGTGTGCACCATCACACCCAGCTAATTTTTAAGTCTTTTGTCAAGATGGGGTCTCACTGTATTGCCCAGACTAAGTTTCTTCTTCTTCTTTTTTTTTTTTTTTAACATTTTGTTTGCTTAGAATTGTTTTCAATTTTAATCAAATCATGTGTCATATCATTTTTTCAACTTGTATGATTATTTTGTGGCCCAATACATGATTGTTTTTTGCAAATATTTCACAGGCTTAAATGGATGCAAAATTCCCTACACACAATTAAATTGAGTGTGTGGTTTGCATTATTCAATTCCTTTATTCCCATCCTTGCTTTTCATCTGCAGATTTGCGTCATTCTAGAATGGGTATACTGAAGCTCGGGTAAGGGTGAGGCTAGAGTTCTGGGTACCCAAGCCTACTGTCCTGCCCGTGCCACAGAATCCACAGAGAGGCCCAGCGGCTGCACTGGGCGTGGAGGTGGCGGGGCGGGGCCAGGTTAGGGATAGGGAGGCAGTCAGTCTGGTTGCCAGGAAGCGGGAAAGGGCCACAATGGGGCCTGGGAGGTGGGCGGGGCGGAGCACGGGTGTCCCGCCACGTCGCTTGGTTTTCCCACGCCAGGAGCTACCACCACAGGTCAGTGCACCTCGGGGCCTCCCCTCGGGGCACCGGGTCCCCCACCCCCGACCCTCCCCGCGGCACCTTTTCCCAACAGCACGAAAATCTCCTGCCAGCCCCCCGCCAGGTGATTCCCTTCCCAAAGTCTGGGTCTAAACTTGTCCCCAGCCAGTTCACGGCCCCACCTAGCCCTCCCTGGAGTCAGGAGCGCGGCGATGGCCTTGAACCCGCTCCAGCCCACGCCCCTCAGAGCCGGGAAGGAAGCTCCTGTTTGTTTTGCCGGCGCCAGGGATACCGACCTGGCCCCGCCCCGCGCTAATCTGAGGGTAGCGGGAAAGTGCGCTCCCCAAGAATCTGGGGTGGAGGGGCCGCTGCCACCGCCCTCGGTCCACAGGTGCTGCGAGCCGTAAGCGCCCCCCACCCGCGACATGGGCTCGGACGCCTGGGTGGGCCCTTGGCGGCCACACCGGCCTAGAGGCCCCATCGCGGCGCACTACCAAGGCCCCGGGCCCAAATACAAACTGCCGCCCAACACCGGTAGCAGGGGCGGGCCCCGGGATTGAGGGGGTGGGGCGGTGCCTGGGGAGGGAAGGGGAAGCGACGGGTGAGGTCTGTGCTCGGGGCCGAACCGGGCCTGTGAGCGGGGAGAGGGGGTCTGTGCCGGGGGAGGGTCCGTGTGCCACGTGGGGGTGGGGCTGGCCCGGCCCGGCGCTGACTCGGTTGCTCCCAGGCTACGTCCTGCATGACCCGTCGCGGCCCCGAGCCCCTGCATTCACCTTCGGCGCGCGCCTCCCCACGCAGCGGACGACTTGCGGCCCCGGGCCCGGCCACCTGGTGCCCGCCCGCATGACCGTGCGCGGCCCCGACAGCGCCCCCGCCTACTCCATCTACGGCCGCCCGCGCCACTCAGCGCCCTTCCCCACTCCGGGACCCGGTCAGCACCCCCGGGACCCTGGCCACCCCAACGCCGAACTGCCTCCAGGGAGGCCCACCTGGGAACCCCCCACCTGAACCCCGAGTCCCCCTCGGATACCCAAACACCGCATATTCGGCACCCCCATATCCGGACCTCAAATCCCCAACCTCGAGCCCCGCGGGGCTTTTACAAATAGTGGCTCAGAGGCCGGGCGCGGTGGCTCAAGCCTGTAATCCCAGCACTTTGGGAGGCCGAGGCGGGTGGATCACGAGGTCAGGAGATCGAGACCATGCTGGTCAACATGGTGAAACCCCGTCTCTACTAAAACTACAAAAAAATGAGCTGGGCATGGTGGCGCGTGCCTGTAATCCCAGCTACTCAGGAGGCTGAGGCAGGAGGATTGCCTGAACCCAGGAGGCGGAGGTTGCGGTGAGCCGAGATCGCGCCATTGCACTCCAGCCTGGGTAACAAGAGCGAAACTCCGTCTCAAAAAAAAAAAAAAAAAAAAAAAAAAAATAGGGGCTCAGATTCCCCCCATAGTCCCGGGGCACCCACCAGGCCCCCACCCAGCTCCCGCCCCCACGCCCTTGATCCGCCCGGCAGGCAGGTACTTCCCGGAGCGAGCTGGGAACGCGACGTACCCCCGCGCGCCTCGACACACCATTGCTCCCCGAAACTGGGGTGTCCACGCCGAGCAGCAGAGCCCAGGTGAGGCCGGCCCAACCCTGCACTGTGGGCCTTCCCACTCCAGGCCGGGGGCCACCCCGCGCCTGTCCGCGCAGACCCACTACCCCCGAGCCCCGGCTCCCCTCCAGGTCCGGGGACCTATACTGTGCCCTCGCTCTTGGGTCCGCGAGTCATCGGCAAAGTCTCCGCCCCAACTTACTCCATCTACGGCCGCAGAGCAGCGGGCAGTTTCTTCGAGGACCTCAGCAAGGTGGGGGACGGGCGGGGCGGACGCAGAGTGTCCCTAGTCCGCCGCAGTGAAGGCGGTAGCCAGCACCCTCTGCCCTCCCGCAGACCCCGGGCCCCTGCGCCTACCACGTGGTGAGCCCGGGGGTCTACAAGTCCCGGGCCCCCCAGTTCACGATGCTGGCGCGGACTTCGCTCCCCCAAGACAGCACGCAGAAGCCGGGGCCCGCAGCTTACAACGTGGACCAGGTGGCCTGGAGCTCAGGGTCAAGGGTCAGGGGCGGGGCAGGGCGGGGGGGGACTGAGGTCGGAGTTATGGGATCAGGGTCCCCGGCGCGGAGGGGACGCCGGTCCCGCGAGCTCAGCAGCCTCTCCCGGCCCGCAGCACCGGAAGCCCCGCGGGTGGAGCTTCGGGATCCGGCACTCGGACTACCTGGCCCCTCTGGTGACCGACGTGGACAACTGACGCGCCGGGCGGGCGCGGCCCCACACTTGTTTGCTTAAAGAAGTTTGCGAGCCCGCATCGTGTCCGCCTCTCTCTCTCTGCGCGTCCCAGGGGCGGGGCCGAGACCGAACTCCGAACCCAGCGGGGCGGGGCCCGCGCATTGGGCGAGGCCCAGCCCCGCGCCACGTCCGACCGTCGAGACCCCAGAGGGCGGGATGGGCGACCCCCGGGCGCTACAGACACCGAAGGGCCGCGATGGGCGGGACAGGCCGCCGACGGCCCCGGGCCCGGAAATCCCGCGTGTCTGGGAGCATCTGGGGGTCGGCCGGGACCCGGCGCGCAGGGGTTAGCGGGCGGAGGCGACTGCCCAGCCCCGCCCACCAGACGGCCCCACCTGCCCTCTGTCCTGGGGCGCCGCCGCCCTGCCGCCGGCAGTGCCTCGCTGTGCGCGAACCCCGCCGTGCGCGAAGCCTGCGGTCCCGACCCGTGGACGAGGCGGGGTATCCCGGGCTGGGATCCGGAGCAGGTGGGCGAGGGCAGCTGTCCTGAGCAGGTACGGGCCGGGCTCGGGTCGTGAGGCCGGAAAGCGGGAGCCAGACTCGGACAAGGGCGACACAGACACGGGACGAGGGGCGGACACCAGGGAGACGCGGGAAGGGGTCGGGACAGGAGCACGTGGCTCAGACATCAACACCGCTCGGCCGCAGGTCCCAGGCGTGCCAGGCATCCCCGCAGGCCCGGAGCGATGGCGGCCTCGATGACCCAGGGAACCCGGGCCCCACCCAGGCCTGGTGACCTCTCCGGGGAAGGGACCCAGGGACTTACCGACCCCTCGCCAGAGCCTAAGCAGCTTCCAGAGCTGATCCGCGTGAAGCGAGATGGAGGCCGCCTGAGCGAAGCAGACATCAGGGGCTTTGTGGCTGCTGTGGTGAACGGGAGCGCGCAGGGCACACAGATCGGTGGGTGGGGAGGGTTGGGTGCCCCAATCCCGGCCGGGAGGTCAGCTGAGACTGTCGGTCCCTGGAGGTGCCACAGTGCCCCACCACCAGCACCGCCCCCAGGGTGCCCCACTGCTGTGGGCTGCCACCCTCACGCAAATCCCCATATACCAGGGGCCATGCTGATGGCCATCCGACTTCGGGGCATGGATCTGGAGGAGACCTCGGTGCTGACCCAGGCCCTGGCCCAGTCGGGGCAGCAGCTGAAGTGGCCAGAGGCCTGGCGCCAGCAGCTTGTGGACAAGCATTCCACAGGGGGTGTGGGTGACAAGGTCAGCCTGGTCCTGGCACCTGCCCTGGCTGCGTGTGGCTGCAAGGTTAGAAACCACCCCCTTTCTCGACCAGAGCCTATGACCCGAGTCAGCAACCAGGCCATCCACAGGCAGCTCCCAACCTCAAGCCTGGCACAAACACCCCAAGCCAGGACCGAGGCTTCTCCCCAGCACAGAGCTTGGGGCCCCTCTGGCTCCAGACCTTGGAGCAGGCAAAAGATCCACTGATGGAATGCAGACCCTTTCCCCTTGGATCCCCAGACCGCTAACCCAAGGGATGAGTAAGGACTTCTCTCGCTCTGCCCCAACCCTTGTTTCCCCACAGGGATGGGTACCAACCTCCTCCCCTACTGACATTTCTCAACCGAGAAAACTTCCTTCCCATTTCACTGGCTGGGAACCCCTATAGCTGCTTAAATACTTTCTAAATCCAGCTGAAGTCCTAGCCAGGGAAGGTGAGGGGATGCATGGGGGTGTGGGTGAGGGGTACCGTGCAGGGTACTCAGCATCCCTGCCCACCAGGTGCCAATGATCAGCGGACGTGGTCTGGGGCATACAGGAGGCACCTTGGATAAGCTGGAGTCTATTCCTGGATTCAATGTCATCCAGAGCCCACAGCAGGTACGGGGGTGGGGTGGGGGGGTGCTGACGAGTCCTTGATCCAGGTTGATGATGAAGACACGACACTGGCCAGGATCACTAAAGGATCACTGGTGGATCATTAGGGTCACTATTGAGGTTATCTGTCAAAGTTGCTCATGTCATTGGACCTGGGTCAAAATCATCAGTGGAACTCATCAGGATCATAAACGAGGAGTTGGTCAAAATCACAGATGGCTGGCCGGGCACGGTGGCTCACACCTGTAATCCTAGCACTTGGGAAGGCCGAGGTGGGCCGATCACTTGAACCCAGTTCAAAACCAGCCTGAATAATATGGCAAAACCCCATCTCTCTACAAAATAAAAAAATTAGCCTATGTGGTGGTGCGCCTGTGATTCCAGCTACTCAGCAGGCTAAGGCAGGAGGATCACTTGAGCCTGGGAGGTCTAGGCTGCAGTAATCTGTGACCGTGGCACTGCACTTCAGCCTGGACAACACAGTGAGACCCTGTCCCAGCACTTTGGGAGACAGAGGAAGGAGGACTGCTTGAGCCCAGTTGGAGATGAGCCTGGGTAGTATAGTGAGACTTCATCTCTACAAAAAACAAGGGGGGAAAAAAAGCCCATCCTGGTGGTGCACGCCTGTAGTCCCAGCTATTGGGAAGTGGAGGTGGGAGGATCACTTAAGCCCAGGAGGCAGAGGTCACAGTGAGCCGAGATTCTGCCAGCTGCACTCCAGCCTGGACAACAGAGCAAGACTCTTTCTCAGGGGGGGAGGAAAAAAAAAAAAAGCTGCTGTTACCAGACGTCACTGAGAATAGGGGGTGTTTGATCAGATGCAAGTGCTCCTGGAGCAGGCGGGCTGCTGTATCGTGGGCCAGAGTGAGCAGCTGGTCCCCGCAGATGGAATCCTATATGCAGCCAGAGATGTGACAGCCACCGTGGACAGCCTGCCACTCATCACAGGTGACCTGACTCCATGGCCTACTTCTGCATGTGACAGGCCCCTGACCTCTGACCTCACAGAGTCCTCTTGGTCCACTTGTTAGTAGTCACCTGACCGTGTGTCTGCGCCCGCACCTCCCCCACCCCACCCCACCCCACAATCACAAGATGCCTGACCACCACCTTGTGGGGTGGCCTCATACACAACCGACTAGGTGCTGCCACCCCCGTCATAAGGAGCTTGACCCTCAATGCTCAGGGCCCCTGACCCCAAAGTCGGCATCCCCGAAGTCTCCCAGGAAGCTCCAGGCTCTCCACTGTCTCCAATTGCCTCTGCCTCCCCACAAAGCCTCCATCCTCAGTAAGAAGGTCGTGGAGGGGCTGTCCGCTCTGGTAATAGACGTTAAGTTTGGAGGGGCCGCCGTCTTCCCCAACCAGGAGCAGGCCCGGGAGCTGGCAACGACGCTGGTGAGTGCTGTGGCCTCTCCCCGGGGGTGCGTCTTGATGTGGGTCCAGCCTACCCTTCACCCCTTCCGTCCCCACTGCCTCCCTCCTCTCAGCAGCCCTGCCTGACCCCAGACCCACCGTTTCCTGCCCAAAGTCCCTCCCTCTCTCATGGCCCCCGAACCTCCTGTGACTTTGGAGGTCAAGGCTGCCTTGGCCTGGGCCTGGGGAAGCCCTCCGTGGCGCGCCTCCCCCGGGCCAGGTACAAGGTCCTCCTGGCCCCAGGTCGAGGTGTGGCACTTCGCTCGCTTCTGTTCCTCACCCCAATCCTTTCCTGATTTTATCCTGGGGGGGCTGGCAACCCCGAGGTTGAAAGGTGCAGAGGAGCTGGAGTTCGATGAAGAACCGGCTGCAGGAGGCCCCGCTATGTAGGGTCCACGCTGAGCCTCTCTCCGCAGGTGGGCGTGGGAGCAGACCTGGGGCTTCGGGTCGCGGCAGCGCTGACCGCCATGGACAAGCCCCTGGGCCGCTGCGTGGGCAACGCCCTGGAGGTGGAGGAGGCGCTGCTCTGCATGGACGGCGCAGGCCCGTCGGACCTAAGGGACCTGGTCACCAGGCTCGGTGAGAGCGGGAGCGGGGGGGGGGAGGCTTCTGGCCGGGGTCGCCCCCGCGGCCGCGCCTAACCCGTCCCCGCCCACAGGGGGCGCCCTGCTCTGGCTCAGCGGACACGCGGGGACCCAGGCCCAAGGCGCTGCCCGGGTGGCCGCGGCGCTGGACGACGGCTCGGCCCTCGGCCGCTTCGAGCTGATGCTGGCGGCGCAGGGCGTGGACCCCGGCCTGGCCCGAGCCCTGTGCTCCGGGAGCCCCGCAGAGCGCCGGCAGCTGCTGCCTCGCGCCCGGGAGCAGGAGGAGCTGCTGGCGCCCGCGGATGGTGAGCGGCGAGGGAAGCCCGGCACCCCGCCTCCGCCACCCCGTCCCTGCCCGGGCCCCCGCCTCTCAGCCCCTCTCCCCGCAGGCACCGTGGAGCTGGTCCGGGCACTGCCGCTGGCGCAGGTGCTGCACGAGCTGGGGGCCGGGCGCAGCCGCGCGGGGGAGCCGCTCCGCCTGGGGGTGGGCGCGGAGCTGCTGGTCGACGTGGGTCAGAAGCTGAGCCGCGGTGAGCGCCGCCCCGCCCCGCTGCCCCCGCGCCGCCGCCCCCGACCCCGCTCTGGCCGCGCGGCCTCTGACGCCCCTCCCCTGCAGGGACGCCCTGGCTCCGCGTGCACCGGGACGGCCCCGCGCTCAGCGGCCTGCAGCGCCGCGCCCTGCAAGAGGCGCTCGTGCTCTCGGACCGCGCGCCCTTCACCGCCCCCTCGCCCTTCGCCGAGCTCGTCCTGCCGCCGCCGCAATAAAGCTCTTTCGCCGCGAAGCGTTGTCCGGGCCTGGCGCGCCGGGGGCATCCGGAGCCGCGGGGCGGGGGGGCGCCGTCTCGGCGCACACGTGACCTCCGCCGGGCTCCAGCTTCCGCGCACGCGCCGAGCGCCTGTCAGCAGCTGCGCGGGGCGGCTGCGCCCGTGTGCGCATGCGCGCAGCTCCGGGGCGCCTGCGCCGTGGCCGCGAGTGTGTGGCGCGGCGGACCCCCGAGCCCACGGAGTTCGCGGGGCGGAGCGCGGGGAGTCGGAGGCCGGCGCTGCCTCCCGGGCCCGGTCCACTGGCGCGCGGCCCCGCCGCGAGGTGCGGACGCCGGGGCCAGGTGGGGGCGGGAGGGGAGGAGGTACCCCGGGGACGCGCTGGGCTCCGGTTTCCCGGTTCCGGCTGCTGCGCGGGGCCAGCGGGGCTCACCCCGAGGGCGCGCCGGAGAGAGGGGCGAGGCGGGGGCGCCTGGGGAGGCTCCGAGCGGGCACCAGTGTTCTCGCGGCTGAGGACAGTAACGCGCGCGGCGCTTCGTGCGGTCCTGGGACCTTTCTGGCCAAGAGGGCGCTGGCTGTGGTGGGGAGGGGACAAGCCCAGAACCGCCCGGGCGCGGGGCGGGCGCCGTGAGTCCCCGGGAGGGTGCCCCCAGCAGGACAGGAGCAGTGACGGGGAGTCCGGAGGCCTCCGCCTAGCAAACCTTCCGGGGCCCGTGGAAGGGCGCAAAGGCAGGGCGTCGGCGGTGAGCCCGGAGCCGCTGCTGGGAAGCCGGGATGAGGACGGCGGGGTTCCGTGGTGGGTAGGAGTGTCTGCGAGGACACGTTAAGTACCGGAGGCACGCGGAGTCCGAGCTCCGGCGTGGTGCTGCAGGTTCTCTGCTGGGAGTGGGGAGGACGGCTGTGGTTAGTTGAGGTGGCCCGAGGGGACACGAAAGTGCTGGAGGAGTCGGTTGCTCTAGGGATTGCAAGCCAGAGTATCACCCGCCTCCTTTAAATAAACGGGTTTATTGCAAATAGATAACACGGTCAGGAGTCCAGGCCACGCAGCACTTGGAAGCTTTCAGTCAGCAAGAGTCGCACCTGCTGAGGCATAGGTACAGGGCAGGGTGTGGTGAGAGGCTAGGGATCCCAGGTGGAGGACCAGAGTGCAGGCGTGGTTGCCCAGGTGTGGATGTTTAGTGGCGTTCTGAGCTCAGGTGAGCAGTGAACGCCTAAGCCGGAACGTGGGCTGGGTCCTTCAGATGGGTGGCTGGCGTCCAGAGTGGCAGGGGCAGCCCAGGTACCACCTTGGGCCTTCCTTTCTGGCCGCTGATGCCTGTGTTTGTTTCCAGGAGCATCAGATCCATGCTGCTGCTGACTCGGGGCCCCATGGCTTGGCACAGGCTCTCTCAGCTCAAGCCCCCAGCCCTCCCTGGGACCCTGAGAGGCCAGGCCCTGCATTTGAGGTCCTGGCTTTTGTCAAGGCAGGGCCCTGCAGAGACAGGTGGGCAGGGCCAGCACCAGGGCCCTAGGCTTCGAACCAGGCTGCTAATCACAGCCGTGTTCGGAGCTGGACTGGGTGGGTTCTGGCTGGCCTTGAGGGCTGAGAAGGAGAGGCTGCGGCAGCAACAGCGAATGGAAGCCCTGCGCCAGGCAGCTGTGGGCCAGGGTGACTTCTGCCTGCTGGACCACAAAGGCCAGGCTCGCTGCAAGGCTGACTTCCGGGGCCAGTGGGTGCTCATGTACTTTGGCTTCACTCACTGCCCCGACATCTGCCCGGACGAGCTGGAGAAGCTGGTGCAGGTGGTGCAGCTGCTGGAAGCAGAGCCGGGTTTGCCTGCAGTGCAGCCTGTCTTCATCACGGTGGACCCCGAGCGGGACGATGTCACAGCCATGGCCCGCTACGTCCAGGACTTCCACCCACGGCTGCTGGGTCTGACGGGCTCCACCGAACAGGTTGCCCAGGCTAGTCACAGTTACCGCGTGTACTACAGCGCCGGCCCCAAGGACGAGGACCAGGACTACATCGTGGACCACTCCATTGCCATCTACCTGCTCAACCCGGACGGCCTCTTCACCGACTACTACGGCCGCAGCAGGTCGGCCGAGCAGATCGCAGACAGTGTGCAGCGGCACATGGCGGCTTTCCGCAGCATCCTGCCTTGAGCCCCTGTGGCCGGGGCCCCGTCATTAAACAGGGTACCTTTAATCTGCACGTGTGTGATCTGTACCAGCAGCCCATGGGGGCCGGACAGCCCTCTTCTCTGCACAGACTAGGTGTATGCAAAGTGGCTTGTAGGGGGAAGATGAGATGGCAACATTGCTTTATTAGGCCGTGCCAGCCAGGAAGCAACACTGGAGTGCGCAGACACACGGCTCCTCAGTACACACCCCCCACCCCGGCCTCGGTGCTCTCCACTCAGGGCTGGGCCATGGAGGGGGCAGCATAGGTCTGGAAACGCTTGTGGGCTCGCTGGTGTGTGAGCAGTCTCAGGGACATGGTGTCCACGGCTGTCTCCAGCCCCGGCTGCTGGGTGATCTCCACTGTGTAGTCATTGGCCTGCAGGGGTGGGGTGTCAGCAGGGTCTGAGACCGGTTCCCCCTCCCACAATTCCCGGCTACTCACCAGCTGCAGGGAGGCCAACATGGAACGGCACACCTCGAAGGCCGGCTGGCCAGCCACCAGCTCCGCAAAGGGACACCACACATTGAGCTGGGGGAACCGTGAGACTACCTGGTCCCCATAAGTGTGGATGTCAAAGGGTACGTGCTGCTCCTGCACAGAGGAGGGGCACATTGGCTTCGGAGAGAGGCACAGGCCTGCAGCGGGCAGCTCCAGTTCCCAGCGGCCCACCTCACCTGCTCCTGGAGCAGAGGCTGCACAGTGTCCTCCCAGTCCCTGATGCGCTGGCTCAGCTCTGTCTCCTGGACAAACTTCTGGGAGCTGGCGATGAAGAGCTCCTAGGGGAGGATCAGTAGGAGCTACTGCCTCCTAAGCAGGGGCTTGGGTGCCTCTCACCTACCCCCACCCCCTCTAACGCAGGCCTACCACATTCCTTCGAACCAGCTCCTCGTAACTCAGGGACGCCGGCACTGCGTCTAGGAAGAGGCAGCTGTGAGCTGAGGGGCCACACTCCCCTGCCCCCAGCTCCAGTGGCCGCTCAGCACTCCTAGCCCACTGCCCACCTACCAAGGTCAGCAGCTTCTTTGGGGTCTGCTCCCTCGGGCTCCACATACTCCTCGGGCTCTAGAAAGTCATCTGCTGGGAGGTGGGAGAGTGAACAGCACACAGGCAGCAAGTCAGCTGGCACAGGTGCTGAGCCCCGTTCTACCCCACCCCCTGGCAGGCACACACCTGCTGCCCCCAGGTCTTCCAGGGAATCCTCCAGGTGGTCCTCCTCTGCAGGCCACAGCCCCTCCTCAGCCCTTGGCAGCCACTGCTCAGCCACCTGTCCAGAGAGAGCATCTGTGAGGGACACTCATCTCCCATCAGGGCCACCACGGGGTCCTAGATCACAGCAGTTGGGACTTGCCTCCCTCCTCTGCAGCTTCCGGAGAGTTTCCAGCTGCTCCTTCACGTGTGTCCAGTACAGGACCTCCATGTCTGCAGACAAAGGCCTTCTGAGGGCTCCCTCTTCCTTCCCAGGCCCCGTACCAGTCCAGCCAAGGCTTTGGGTGACACCAGGTGGGGGTAGAGATAGGGGAAGGAGACTAAAACTGTCTTCCCTGAGGACCTCAGCCTCACCTGCAAAGGACGGGCCCTTTCGCCGGGACCTCCTGCTGTCAGCATGGTCAGCATCTGAGAGAGAACATGGTCAGCACAACTAGGCCAAGAGCTGCCCATGGCATTGGGGATCCTCTTCCACTGGCCCTGGCCCAGCTCCCAGGGACCCCGAGTGCCCACCACACCCACTCACAGGCTGCCAGGTACCACTGGTGGAAGTCTTGCAGCTTGGCAGCACCCTTCCTCTTGCGCTTCTGTCCTGGAGCCTCCTCCACACAGGGGGGCACAGAGTAAGGCCTTCCTGAGGGCAAACAGGGACTGTCTTGGAGCCGCCGTGGGATCGGGGTGCAGAGCCCACTCCCATTCCCCTACCTCATGCCCCTGCAAGCCCAGCCAGGGATACCTGAGTGAAGGTACCCTCCACCCAGTTACCTTTCTTGAAGGGCTTAGAGTCCAAGGAGTCAAAGGGGTCCAGGCTCTGCCAGGGGTCTGGAGTCTCCTGGGCACAGAGCACAAGCAGGCGCTGGGGGAGTTGGGGGTGCACAGCCATCCCTCCCAAAGCCCAGACAGGTACAGTGACAGCCTGCAGGAGGGCCAACCACCCTCAAACCCTGGATCACAGAGGGGAACATTCAAGGGAGGGAAGGAGGGAGCCCAGAGCCACATGAGGGCAAGTGCAAAGGGCCACAGGCTGGGAACACTGCAGGGCAGCAGAAGCAAGGGCACATGGGAGGGCAGCCAGCCCTCAAATCCACCCGTACCCCCTTGACAGGGCCAGGGCCCCAACACTCCTACCTTCACATGGGACGCAGGCTCTGGGGCCCCCTCTCGCTCCCGCAGCATGCACCTTCTGGGCAGGGCAGCATTCTGCAAAGACAGGCACAGAGTCCCACTTCTCCCTTTTTTTTTTTGAGATGGAGTTTTGCTCTGTCGCCCAGGCTGTAGTGCAGTGGCATGATCTCGGCTTACTGCAACCTCCGCCTCTCGGATTCAAGGAATTCTCCGGCCTCGGCCCTCCCAGTAGCTGGGACTACAGGTGCATGCCACCACACCCAGCTAATTTTTTGTATTTTTAGTAGAGACAGGGTTTCACCGTGTTAGCCAGGATGGTCTCGATCTCCTGACCTTGTGATCTGCCTGCCTCAGCCTCCCAAAGTGCTGGGATTACAGGTGTGAGCTCATTTCTCCCCTTTCTCCACTCAAGGCTCTGGGTACCCCAGAACTCCACCTTGGGTCAACATCAAGAATCCCACAGAGGCCAGGCACCGCAGCTCACGCCTGTAATCCCAGCACTTTGGGAGGCCAAGGCAGGCGGATCACCTGAGGTCAGAAGTTTGAGACCAGCCTGGCCAACATAGTAAAACCCTGTCTCTACTAAAAATGCAAAAAAAAAAAAAAAAAAGGAAAAAAAAAATTAGCCAGGCATGGTGGCATACACCTGTAATCCCACCTATTCGGGGGGTTGAGGCAGAAGAAGTGCTTGAACCCAGGAGACTGAGGTTGCAGTGAGCCGAGATCACGCCACTGCATTCCAGCCTGGTCGGTAGAACAAGACTCCGTCTCAAAAAAAAAAAAAACAACAAAACCTACAGGGGCCAGACATAGTAGTTGGTACCTATAATCCCAGCATTTTGGGAGGACAAGGCAGGAGGATCACTTGAGCTCAGGAGTTCAAGACCAGCTTGGGCAACATAGTGAGACCCTGTCTGTACAAAAAAATACAAAAATTAGCCAGGTGTGGTGTCATGTGCCTGTAGTCCCAGCTACTCAGGAGGCTGAGGTAGAAGGATGACCTGATTCTGGGGAGGTCAAGGCTGCAGTGAGCCAAGATCAGGCCACTACACTCCAGCCTGGGCAACAGAGCAAGACCCTGTCTCAAAAAAACACCCTGCTTATACTCTTGGGTCATTAAAAACCCTAAGAAAAAACTTAAAAAACACACACACACACACACACACACACACACACACACACACGTACGTCATAGGGTACTCTTTTTCAAAAATAGGAAAAACGTCCATTGTGACAAACATCCATGTTATCTACCAATTTTAAAGTTAAGAAATGTTAACATTTCCTCCTGTAGGCATCAGGTTGATTTTCTATGAATAAAAAGGAAGGATTTCTTCCTTCTAGGCTGGACAGAGTTGCCCTGGGGGTGGAGGGAGGCAGCAAAGGCCTCCAAACACCCCCTCCTACCAGCCCAACCACGGAAGAAGCGCCTTGGCAACCAGTTGCCATCCCAGCTAGCTGTGAGCTCAACAGAGCTCAAACCCCTGGACACCAGTCCACTATCTGAGGAGCGTCAGTTCTGATCAGAGAGGGGAGGAACACAGACGCTGCTGTTCAAAAGGGCTGGTTGCAGGATGCGCTGCAAGGCGGGCAGGCTTCTGCCCAAGACCAGCGGCCTGGGGCCAAGGCTGTAGCACTGTCCTCCTTGTGCAAGCTGACTCAGCCCCAGAGCCAGGGTCGCCCGGTTCACAGCTCAGGCTCTGCAGGCCTCCGTGTGGGTCCCACCTGCTGCGGGCTCCTGGGCTCCTCGGGCTCCAGAGCGGCCTTGGGGGCCGAAGCCTCAGGAAGCTCTACTGCCTCCTCTGCGTCCTCATCCTCACCCCCGCCCAGGGGCATCGGGCTTTCTGGAGAGGGGCCTGGGCAGGGAGCAAGAGAGTGATCAGCTCCAAGGAATGTCAAGACCAGACGGCACCAAAGGGACCCTGATGGCCACTCCCTCCTCTCAGCTTTGGTCACTGGAACCCAGAGGATTCAGTGGTTGCCTTGCACCCTCCTTGTCATGCTAGTATACTCTGCTTGGATCATTTTATTTCTAAGCAAATGTTCCTCTTTAAATGCAGTCATCCACATCTGCCAGAGAGGAGACCCATGAGGGCAGTCAGAGCACAGTCAGCGAACCAGGACGGGCTGAGGCTTGGGTCAGGCCGGGGGCCTGGGCTCCAAGGCTGTGGCTGCCTTCCCTGAGTGAGGCCTCACTCCTGAGGGCCACAGAAGGGGCATGAGGCTGGCAGCTGAGCACAGCCCCCTGGAGCCCTGTCCACTGCATGCCGCCTCCCTGGCCCCCTCTTTGGCTGCCCTGCCAGTCCCACCAGGGAGCTTTCTTCTCACCTGGCTCCTGGGAGAAGCCGAGAGCTGGGACGGGGCTCCCGCACAAGGAAACTTCCATTGGCTGCTCCTCAGTCCTCCTAGCGTCTGCGAGAGACAGGGTTTGGACAGGGTCAGTCCAGCCCCTCTCCAAGATGGTCTCTGCCCGGTGTCCAACAAGCCCCTCCAAGGGGCCAGCAGAAGGGCACAGCCCAGGCCTTGGATTTAGGGAAGACAGCAGGGGCCTGAGTGGGCACCAGGTCCCTGGCACTGAGACTGTGTTAACTTGTAATCAAGGCAGAGCAGATGGGTGGAGTAGGCACCCAGAGAGAGGGAGCTCCCAAGACCAGAGCTGGCAAGCATAGGGTGCCCCACAAAAGTCCACTCCAGAAGACCCCTTCCCTCCTTCCCACCAAGCCCCCCGCATCCAAGCCCTCACCCTTCTGGGTCCTTGGCATGGGGGAAACGCCTGCTGGCTCCATGGGGGACATGCCCTCTGGCTCCAACATGAAGGCCCCTCTGGGGTGGGGGGTGCATGTGTTCATCCTGAAATCCTTCCGGCTGGCCAGGACCTCACCTTGCCGGCTGTGCTGGCAAAAACACACCTGCTGTAGAGACCCTGCCCAGGAAGCTCTAGGCCTCCCTCCCCATTGCTGGGCTCAGATCCCTACCTGTACAGGGGGTTGTTGTTCTTCTCCATTTCATCAGGGGCTACCAGGGCCATGGGCAAGAGGGGGACGATGAGGACCTCCTGCATGGAGTCCGAGGGTGGGTGAGCAGGCAACCTTACCCTCCAGGTGGAGAACCCACATGGGGCAATAACACCATCCCACACCCTGTCAGCTCAACACAGCCCCAGGGAAAGTGCTGACCTCACCCCAACCTAAAAGGGGCCAAGACTCACACTGGGCGCCTGATCGTTCTTCAGATCCACGTTAGTCCGGGAGTCAGGGAAGTCATCCAGTGACAGCAACTGGAGGGAGACAGAGCTCGTGGGGGCAGAGCCCAGGCAAGCACACAGTGGGTGGGGCCCCATGCCCAAGAAACTCACCTCATCCTCTGCCTCCTGGGGGGCCCCAGAGCTGGCATCCCCATTGGCTCTGTCCTCCTGCACCGCAGAGAGCTGCTTGGCCCGCCTGAGAGAGAAGAGTATCCCATGGGCATTCCAGGAGCTGCAGGGGTCTCCCTGGCCACACACAGGGCCTCACTGTGAGTGGCTCCAGTACTCACCTCTTTCCAGAGATGAAATCAAGGGCCTGGTAGACGAGTGAGTAGAGGTATTCCACCTGGTGACCAGACGCAGGCAGTGAGAGCCCAGAAAGGAGGGGCCCACCCGCAAGGCCTTCGAGGCCTGGCCACCAAACCTCCAGTACAAGAACCACCAATTTTGCCACCAAAAATAATTCTCAAATCAAACCAGGAATCTCATGGCAATTACTTTCCTGCTGAGGCCACCCAATTCTCTCCTCTGCCCCCCATGGTCCACACAGCAATGAGCATGGCCTTCTCAACATGTGACTCTGACGACAGTGTGGTGCCCACAGTGTGCCTCACACAGCCCTTGCTGGCCAGGCCCCTTGTACTTGGCACCCACTCTGCCCATGGCCTGCAGCCCTGCTGCTCCTCCACCCATGGGCTCCCGCCCACGTCTCCCCCAGACCCTCCTCCTTATGTCCTGGCCCAGCCGTGTCCCAGCTCCAGCCACCACGGGGCCTGCAGGACACAGCCCTTTACACACTTCCTGTCCTCCTCCTCCACAGAACGGAAGCCCCACCAAGAGGGTGGTGGTTGTAGATTTTCAGGGTGCTGACAAGCACCCACAAGTAGGGGACGGGGAAAGAGGTACACATGGCACCCTGGGCTGTTCCCAGGTGCACACAGCAGGTGCCATTCCCCCGGGACAACACAGCCCAGCAGCACACAAGACCCTCCCTGCCTGGTTGTACGATTTTTTTTTTTTTTTGTCACGGAGTCTTGCTCTGTCACCAGGCTGGAGTGCAGTGGCACAATCTCGGTTCACTGCAACCTCCTATTCCCTGGTTCAAGGGATTCTCCTGCCTCAGCCTCCCAAGTAGCTGGGATTACAGGCATGCACCACAACGTCCAGCTAATTTTTGTATCTTTAATAGAGATGGGGTTTCACTATGTTGGCCAGGATGGTCTCCCATCTCCTGACCTTGTGATCCGCCCGCCTCAGCCTTCCAAAGTGCTGGGATTACAGACACGAGCCACTGCACCCGGCCAAGATTTTAAATTCGAAATGGTTGTTGGTGTGGGGACGTGTCAAGGAACTGGCTAAGACCTGAGGTGCTGGGGAGGTGGGTCACAGATAGGAGGACCACTGCGCCTGCCCCAGAAGGAGAGCTGACCACGGTCCCACTGGCCACCAAAATGCCAAGAGCAGCATCAGGCAGGGACTACCTTCTTACTGTAGACACAGGCGGAGCCCTGGATCAACAACGCTGCCTCAATGAAGTTCATTGTGGTTTTGCCTTCGTCAAAAGAAATACAGATCTGGTCCAGCTGCAAGAAACAACACAAGGGCAGGGAGAATCCAAGGTCCAGTCTGCACTTGCTTCTTCCAGGGACGCCCCACCCATCAGTGGTCTCTGCCCAGCACCTCTGGCCAGGTCACAGCACAGCAGCCCCCTGAGATGGGCAGCGGGAGCTCTGCCGTGGGCTCGCCAGTTGCGTATTTCAGTGGAGAGACAGGTCTCTGTGATTCCCCCTACTTCATATAACAAAACCCTGTTTTGGAAGTGGAAGGCCCCAGGGCACAGTCTACAAATAACCAGGGCAGCACATCAGCTCCCTCCAGAAGGTACCAGAGGCCGACAGACTCAGCAGGAAGACCCCTGACGCAGAGAAGAAAAGGGGACCTCAGGAATGGAAAAGGCAAGAGACAAAATGCGGAGGTCACCATCCTTTGAGCAGTCAACTCAGGAAACGGTCCAGGTGAGTCGTCACCCTTCCTCTGCCCCTCGGCCTCCCGGAGCCCCAGCTCCTCTGTTCCCCTTAAACGTCAGTGTCCCAGGCACTCCACCCTTAGCCTCTCTTCTTCCCACATGCACCTCCCACCATGTGCATTCCTCCATCCCATGCCCAAGCTGCCAATCATAAGCCAACGAGCCCCAGACCCATCCCGACCAGCCCTCTCTCCTAAGCCCTGGAGCTGCACTCACAGCTGTCCACAGAGTACATTCAAATGTCCCCAGGCATTTCACTTCCATACCAACGCTGGCCCATCTCCTGTATTCCTTCTCAGCAATGACACTTTTTTTTTTTAACTTTTATTTTATTTTTAGCCAAGGGATTATCAGTCAAAACTTTTCTTTTTAAAAAATGTTTTTGTAACGACGGGGTCTCTCTCTGTTGCCCAGGCTGGTCTCAAACTCCCAGCCTCCAGGGATCCTCCTGCCTCAGCCTCCCAAAGCACTGGGATTACCGGCATGCGCTACCATGCCCAGCCACAGACGACACTTTGAAGTCCCTGTGTTTTTCCCAGCTCTTCAATTTTGCATATTCATCTGCTTGGAACACCCACCCCCAAATGTCCCCAGGCAAACTCTTTTTCAGAGCCCCCTCCATGCCTGGGGTCTCCCTGCTGCTCCATCAGTGTGACCTTGTCCCTTAGTGAACCGTGAGCGGCATTAATGTAATTCCAGCCCTCTGTTCAGTGCCTGACACTGGTGTCCAATAAATATTTGATGAACACATGCACACATAATGTCAGAGCGAAGCCTGAGAAATGAAGAGGCTCACTAGACATGAAGGGAACAGGGAAGCAGTAGCAGAGACTGGACATGTCTATTCAGGAAAATGAGCATGATACAAACATGGCCAAAATATAAGGCGTACTGGGGAGAGGCAAGATTTCAGGCAGCACAGGCACCAAGGATGGGGAAAGGCTGGGGGGCCGTCACCAGGGGGAGTCACTTCCATTAGTTCTTGAAGGACACAAGCTGTCTGTCAGATCTGGGAGGAAGGGAGAGGAAACAGCAGCATGACCATCTATGGAAGTGTGAGGACCCAGGGGAGTGTTCAGGACCTGAAGAGCTTGGCCAGAAAGACAGGAATGTGGAGGGGATGGTGGCCCTTCTCTCCAGTGACCCTGCCCACAGCCAGATCACCCGCTCCCAGGACACCGGGCTTCACCTGTCCTTTCACTTCCCCAGGTTGGACCTGCCATCTAAGCCCAAACCCACGTGTTCAGCTGCCTTCTTCAAACATCACTTGCATGTCTTAACCCACCCACACTGAACTCTAGACACCCCCCAACCCACCTGCCCAGAAACCCAGGGGTTCCTCTCTACGGTAACCCCCATTCTGGCCCCTCCACTCCCCTTTTTCCTCTGCACTGACAGGGCTCCTTCTGCCCTTCACTCCCCTCCCATCTACCCTTCACACACTGGTCAGTGCCTTTGTTTAGGATTTTGGGTTTTTCCTAAGAGTGGTAGGAAAAACCCCAAATCCTAAATGGAGCTGGTCAGGGGAGGCCTCCATACTGGACAGCCTCCCTCTCCAGCCACCTGCCCTCCTCTGCTCAATGCTCCCAATTCTGAACTTTTTTTTTTTTGAGACAGGGTCTCACTCTGTTGCCCAGGCTGGAGCACAGTAGTACCAAGATCTCAGCTCACTGCAACCTCTGCCTCCCAGGTTCAAGCAATTCTCCCTGCCACGGCCTCCCGAGTAGCTGGGATTATATGCACCTGCCACCACATGCCTAGTCTAATTTTTGTAAAAACTCCAAACCTTCCAACACCAGGTTCCCTCCACCTAAAACATTCTTTAGCTCACCATAATTAGGCAACTACTTTCATCCCAAACAAACTAGGTCCTCCAAACTCTCCATAAGACCATAAACCTTTCTTTCAAATCCCTCATAAGTTTCTAGGGGTTTTTTGTTTTTTGAGATGGAGTTTTGCTCAGCCTATTGCCCAGGCTGGAGTGCAATGGTGGGTTCTTGACTCACTGCAACCTCCGCCTCCTGGGTTCAAGCGATTCTCCTGCCTCAGCCTCCCAAGTAGCTGGAATTACAGGTGTGTGCCACCACGCCTCACTAATTCTGTATTTTTAGTAGAGATGGGGTTTCTCCATGTTGCTCAGGCTGGTCTCAAACTCCTGACCTCAGGTGATCCACCTGCCTCCACCTCCCAAAGTGCTGGGATTACAGGCATGAGCCACGGCACCCAGTCTCTGATTTTTGGGGTTTTTGAGACAGAGTCTTCCTCTATTGTCCAGGCTGGAACGCAGTGGTGCAATTTTGGCTCACGCAACCCCTGCCTCCCAGGTTCAAGCGATTTTCCTGCCTCAGCCTCCCAAGTAGCTGAGACACAGGCATGCACCACCACATCCAGCTAATTTTTTTGTGTGTTTTTAGTAGAGACTGGTTTTCACCATGTTGGTCGGGCTGGGTGACAAAGTGAGACTCCGTTAAAAAAAAAAAAAAAAGACTCAGTCATTAAAAGAATATTCCCAGCCAGGTGTGGTGGTGCACACCTGTGGTCCCAGCTACCTGAGAGGCTGAGGCAGGACTGCTTGAGCACAGGAGTTTGATACCAGCCTGGGCAACACAGCAAGATCCTCCTCTCTTTTATTTTTCCTCTTGCCCTTACCATATGAAGTCCTCTTTATTTAAAAACAAAACAGAACATTCCCAAGTGCGAGCAGAAAGCATGAACACCTTTCACCAAGAAAAAGCTTGGAGAGCCATAGGTTGACTGGTTCAAAAGAACAAGGTACAAAATAGCCTGAAATCAGGCCAGAACGGTGAGCAGAGCCAGGTTCAGAGGAGGAAAGCTGGGTTTTATTTTTAGTGCATTGGAAAGCCACTGAGGAGTTTCAGGCAGAAAACAGTGCTGTAGCCGGATTTTAATTTTTTTTTTGAGACAGTCTCACACTGTTGTCCAGGCTGTAGTGCAGGATGTGATCTCGGCTCACTGCAATCTCCGCCTCCCAGGTTCAAGTGATTCTCCTGCCTCAGCCTCCCGAGTAGCTGGGATTACAGGCGTGCACCACCATGCCCAGCTAACTTTTTTGTATTTTTAGTAGAGACGGGGTTTCACCATGTTGGCCAGAATGGTCTTGATCTCCTGACCTCGTGATCCGCCTGCCTCAGCCTCCCAAAGTGCTGGGATTACAGGTGTGAGCCACCGCACCCAGCCGGATTTTAATTTTTGAGTCACACTTGTTGCAGGTTGGAGGACGAATTGGACAGAGACAAAAACAGGGATAAGGGAGTCCAGACAGGAAGGTTTTACACAAATGCAGGCCAGAGACATTGGTGGCCTAGACCAGAGAAAATGGAGAACAGATGAATTCAAGTGATACTCCGGTGGTATAACTGATGGAATTCTGTCTGGGTGTTGAGAGTGGGGCTTCACTATAGCTGCACTAAGCTTTTGCCTTTGATTGAACAATGTTGCCATTTTCCAAGATGGGAAAGACGGGTTTAAGCAGAAAAATGATGAGTTCCACTTTATATATGTTAAATGAGATGTTTATGTAACACCTGGTGGATGTCAAGAGAGCAGCTGGATATGTAAAGCAGATTTGGAGGACAGATCTCAGATGGAGGTGCAAATCTGGTAGTTCTAAGACAGAAGAGATTTAAAATCATAGGAGTAAATAACACTGTTTAGGAGAAATGTATCAGAAGGTCCTGTCCTGAGGAACTCAACACTTAAAGACTGGATAGAAGAGAAAAAGCAGAAAATAAAATAGAGGAAAAAATCCTACCACCATGTTTCAAAAAGGAACGAGTGGCCAATCCCACAAATGCTAATTTGAATAAGATGACACTTCTAGTGTGGCTTGGATTTAGTAGGATGGAGATCACCGTTGATCAAGACAACAAACATTTAAGTGTAATGGAACCCAGATTGAGATGGGTTGAGGAATGAAAATGAAGTGCAGAGGCCGGGCGCGGTGGCTCAAGCCTGTAATCCCAGCACTTTGGGAGGCCGAGGCGGGTGGATCACAAGGTCAAGAGATCAAGACCACCCTGGTCAACATGGTGAAACCCCGTCTCTACTAAAAATACAAAAAATTAGCTGGGCATGGTGGCGCGTGCCTGTAATCCCAGCTACTCAGGAGGCTAAGGCAGGAGAATTGCCTGAACCCAGGAGGCGGAGGTTGCGGGGAGCCGAGATCGCGCCATTGCACTCCAGCCTGGGTAACAAGAATGAAACTCCATCTCAAAAAAAAAAAAAAAGAAAGAAAATGAAGTGCAGAAATGGAGCAGAAAGCTTAAGAGAGGTCTAGACAGGGCTGTCAAATGTGGAAGAAAGACTAAACGCTGACAGGATGGAGCATGGCAACAGCTTCAAGTTGGTTTGAAAATCCAAAATTAAAAATCCCTCTGACATCGTGATCCAGACCCGTGAAACACACAAGCATACGCCAATAACTGAAACAAAAGCGATAATGCTTTCTAGTCTATTCCATTCCGCTAAAAATGCTGGTCACCACCCACTGAATCATTCGCAGTTCGCTGACGGGTAGAGACCTGCAATGACAGCTACACGCTAATGTAACAAGGGATGATTTGGGGAGGCAGAGACGGAGTTTGAAAAGAATCAGCGCGCCCAGAGCGCCAGATGGCCACCGGCGTGGGGGCGGCGGGGGCCCCCAGCCCCGGGACCAGAGCCCCCGCCCCGCAGCCCCACCCGCCTGCCCACCCCGCGCCACTCCCCCGCCGCCCTCACCTCCTCCAGATACTCGCCCAGCTGGGCAGCCACGTCCACCTCCCAGTTCTTGGTGAGGTCGCGGATGGGCTGCAAGAGGTGGGCGAAGCGCGCCTCCACATCCTCCATGTCCGGGAGGGACCGGGCAGCAAAGGTATCGCAGGGCTACCTTCAGAGGGGTACGGTGTCCTCAACCCGCCACTATTTCTGGCGCCATTTTGCTGTTCCCGCCCAGGAAAGTGCGTAGGCGAGGCGCCGCGCGCATGCCTATGACGTAACGTGGGCCGAAGCCCCGGGAGGCGATCCCCCGCGCTGTGCGGAGAGAGCGCACCGGAAAGTCGCGGGGCGGGGCCGGCGGGAGGTGGGCGGGGCTTTGGGGGGGGGCTGACGCGCTTTTGAGGGGCGGGGTTTTCGAGCCGGGGATGGGGAGGGGCGGGGCGGGGCCTGGGGCTGCCGCTGGCGGGAAGATGAGAAGGCGGGGCCTGGGGCTGCAGCCGGCGGGGAGGTGAGGAGGCGGAGCC